CCTATTCTACGATGAGAGAGTGAGCAGAAAAGCGATTTCTCTATATTTACTGAAAGAAGAAAAACATCAAATATTTGATAACTATTCAACTAACCCAAATATGAATAGGTGATGAGTTTCGATAATTAACATAGACATCAACTATGACAAATCTGACTGTGCTGATAATTAGGGAACGACCTTTGTTAATCTTCTATTGGTTAATAATATGAGTAAATTCTATTAGCATGTGGCTAGACGCGCTGACCTCACGACCGATGATAGAAACTCATTCACTGTTTCCTCTTATCTTAATTTTAGTTATTTCTTGAAATGAATAGGAGTAGTTTGAATTTTTCCGATAGAAAAACCATGTTCTTAGAAAAGCGCTAAATTTGTTCGAACACGAAATTTTCCATTCCAATTTAGAACAAAAATCAAAACAAATATTGCATATTAATCCTATATTTAAGTGATATTTGTAAAATAAGGTAACAAATGACGTATGTTAGCATAATCTATCCTGCTCAAATTAAAAGACAAAAAACACCTACAAAAATTTCTTAGAAAACGCAGTAATACATATTACATTTATTCCGAAAATTCATTAAAATTTGACTTTTCTTTGAGAGGTCATGTATTTATAAAGAGTGTAACAAAATTATTGAACAAACTTTACTATCAATTTTTTCCGCTGTCATATGCTCCCTAGAAAGAATTCAAGTCGTTACTTGAATAGAGAAAATTGTTTCCAATAAGAATATAAGAAAATAAAAACTATTATCAAATTCCAAAAGATAGGAACTCAAGAAATTCATAAGAAAAGTGGTTCAAGACCTAGAATAGGTAAACATAGTGCTTTTAGACTGCTTAGAACAAACAATTCTCTACAAAATGAATCATCTTTGAAATGTCTTAAAGCTGACATAAACAAATGTTACGGAAACTCTCTCAATTTCCTCTCGAAAAAAATTCTTTCGATCTTCAATTAAAATACTATATCGCAGCCAAAAACACGTCATACAGAACTCGACAATGTTTCATTTTGTAGAAAATCATTTATTTCAATGTAATCTAAATAAAACTATATTTACCTGCTTAGTATGTTGGAAAACGATGATTTGGATTTTTTGGAATCTCTATCTTTGAAAATCTGATAATAATTTTTTTTGGTTCTATTCTTGTTGGAAATCATTTTCTCTGTTCGAACTGCTAATTTGAATTTTATCTAATGCTTAGCGAAGCNATAACATCTTGAGAATTGGTGTGGGTGTAAATTAATACAACAGAAACACATCCACCCACCCAATATTGAAAGCATGCTGGAACAGCAGTATTTTGAAGAACCATTCGTGAAATCAACTAGAAATCGTACTATCCTATACAATTAGACTATATAATTAAGTTATTAAAAACTTCAATATAATACTTTGATTGATAACAGTATATGATCAGTGATAGTATTGAGTGATGGGTTTATTAACAATCGACGACCATCATGTAGATTTTGAGCAAAGAATCAATCATTTTCTCGCCTCTTAACAATAAGTATAATTAGTTTTGGATAGCAGACAATGAAGATTGACAGATTTAAAATTTAATTAGTAGAACTAAAATTTACACACAATCCTCTTGACTTTTCATACAAAATTCAATCAATACGACTAACCCAACCTTTCAATATAATTGATATCATCTCTATAAATAATAACCTTTGCTAATAAAATACTATTTACTTAATTATATTTTATTACAGCTAACATTAATTCTTCTAATTTTTGTAAGTTTATTGGCAAAAACATCTAGAAAAAAACGGAAATAATATTTGCGATGGTGATGTAAGATACTGAACACATAAAACTGTTTTTATTGCATCATAGAAATCTTTTCGAGTATTTATCCGTACACAATAGATCAAATCTATTTATGAAGCAGCTTTATTTTCGATGGAATGAATAAAGGATTGTGAACTATCATTGAATAGTTCAATCCTATTTTTTAAACAAATTTCAATTTACATTTACGGAAAAACTAACACGCATACCAAAAGAAAGAAAGGCAGAAATAAGATGTCATGCAAAGGAAAAGAGATGAGAGAAATATGCACAAATCTTATAAAAAAAACCATGAACGACGTCACTTGGCTTCTAATGAATGGCATGTTTGAATAAAAAAAAGAGACTGTATTGAAAAAGTCAAACACTATTGCACTTATGTTGATATGATATTAGTAACTATAAACGTTCATTTATAAGTGGATGTTTGGCTTGACGAACAGGAGTTATGAATAAGCACGATAGGATATTCTAAATCAGAATGTATCAGTTTGGATTGTTCTGAACCTCTTAACCTATTAGAAATCTCCTCTAGAGGGATCAATGTACAAGATGTGTTACAAGTTCCCTCATTTTTAATAATTTTTGAAAGCTTGTTTAAATATTTTCATGGTGAAACTGTCAAAATTTCAACGTTTTAACTCTTTGTCTACCAGCATGGAAATCTCAAGAGTTTTTAAACAATTTTTGTACTCAAAACATTTGAAAAATTCAATGACTCAATGAAATCCATCTGTAAGTTTATTATATGCTTGGCCACTAAAGCAGCCTCTATCTGGAAGAACGAAACAAATGATCATTGTATTGATGTATTATCAGAACAGCAATGATGGCGTTTTGGTAGATTTGGGTGTGAATATCGATGTGTGCTGTGGGAGTTTGTAGGGAGAAATGCTACATTAACACTCACTCATATCCTTTCAGTTTTTCATCCATCACGGATGGGTATCACAGTAAAAATTCTGAGAAAAAACTGGAAGTCACGGAAACATTATGGATTTAATTTTTTCTGCTGATTTCATATATCATATTTTTTAAAAATGGCAGAAGAATTTTTCTATTCGAAAATCCTGAAACCTTGATATAAAAAATGTTATTTATGTTGTGAATGTAAGTATTTATCAGAGTAAATCTTTAGTCATCAAATACTAAGAGTAAAATGAAACACGAGCAGAGGAATATAGAATTTCACATTTGCAAAATAAAATAATGCTTATATAGAAGAAAAAAAAGAACTTCATGAGGTAACAAAAATTGCTATGTTTCAAAGAGTCAACTGACTAGAGCAGAATTTAGTAATTATCAGTAAGAAAAAATAAATGTCGTGTAGATCCGTACAGATTCAGAGAGAGAAAAACATTATATATCTAATCGACCTATTCATGATGAATCCAAACTAATATTTAGTAGACTTTTAAGTCAAAAACTAGTTTTTTTGAAAGACTTTCATGGGATGGTTCATATTTTTCGAGTAATTTCATAAATTCATGTAATATTTCGAAACATTACACATGGCGATGTCTGAATATGAAAGCTTGGAACAAAGCAACGAAAAAAACTTCTTTGAGGTACTTGAGTGAACTCCAAGTATGAAAACAGTCAGTGTTTACTTTTCGAGAGACAAGTTAGAAAAAGTGATCAGGAAAAATCACGTTTGAGTGGGAGCTGTACACCCCTATTACAATTGTTTCATAAGACATGTCTGGATTTCTTGTCCAGTTGTTAATATTGATGAGATCATAGAGTGAAAGGTAAATAGAAAAAAAAAGACGAAAAAGTGAGAGATTAAGATAGCGAATGTCAACATAAAGGTATGTATATATACCGACATAGAAAGGCATCAACTCAAGTTTATTTGGAATAAAAACAAGAATATTAAAACGTGTATCGTATATTATGCTGTTCTTCGGCATCGCTATTCTTAGTTAACATATTCATTTGACAGGTAGATCTCGTCAGATAATATTTCGTGTGTTTCTTCTTGAATAGGAATTGCGTTTTTTGACTCTTTTACAAGAAATATGATGTCGATATCTATCGAGCAGTTAGACCTGTTGGCCAAATGTCTCGGTTAGACAAACTTTTAATGAATCAATCAGTAGACGATTGATCTTCACTCAGCCATCTGCTGCAATCTGCGGCAAAAATCCACCAAATACTAATCTCTGTGCTATTGCTCAATCAACAAATGCTGTTTGATGTAGAAATCAAGCCGCAGCCATGATACATCATAATTGGGGGTAACGAATGTGACGGTGGGTGCGAGTACTTTGTCCCATTTCCACTCACACCCACAGCCCTACCGCACAGAAACGGCAAAAATGGGTGTTTTCGTTCACAGTCTGGAACAGAGATTATACGTAAAACTTGTCCACTTTTTATATTTTAAAGATACTCTTATGTATTTCAACACGGTTTTGAAATTTTTTATTTGCTTCAGACTCACATCCAGCTGTAGACATATTTCATATCATCGTGTTTCATTTTTTTCTATTTACATCATCTAGATTAAAAACATATTATTTAATATTAAAAAAAGTTTTCTTATGATGGCGAATGCTAAAGAATCAAGAAAGACTGTGCTCTATGTTTGGCTTGACGCTTCTGCTAATTCAAATAGTGATCATTCCAAAAAAGTAGAAGAACAATTGAAAGTTATATTAGACAACCTTACAACTTTTAATGCTATCAATGATTGCGAGAAGTTTATTGAAATACACAATAATCAAATTATTTTACTTATTGTATCAGGTTCCTATGGACAAAAAATTGTACCCGAAATACACAATTTAACACAATTGTTGGTCATTTATGTGTATTGTGGGAATATAGAACTACATAGTCAATGGGCAAACGATTATCCTAAAGTAAGTTTAACAAAATTAGAAGTAACTGCTTCAAAACTTTCATTTTTTGAGAAAAATGTCTGTTTAAGTGTCGGTGGGAACGTAAGAATGAGTATTGATTACAATATAAACACCCATCCTTATGATTCCTTATCGAATATTCTCATTCTGGTGAATCTAATTTTAAAGACAGAGCATAAATCCTTTTTTTCGCATGAAGAATTTCCAGGTCAATCACGCTCGGCAGTAAACGGCCGTTCACCAACTAAATACGCCAAAAAACGGTAACTTTTTACGCTGCTCGTAAACAGAAACTGTAAGCGATGACTTACGGCATATTACGACAACCGTAAACAGTAACCGTAAAATTTCATCGTAACTACTACCGTAACAGTACGGTGACTGTATACTTTGGTCGAAAAATAACGTGAGGCATCGTTTACGTCAGCAGTTTACGATGGCTGTTAACGACAGTCGTAAACGATGCTTTACGGCATGCTACGGCAATCGTAAACATTCACTGTAAAGTATTCCAGTAAACGACCAGCGTGACAACACGACGGCCGTATACACTGGTATTATGAAATGTCGTAAGATACAGTATACGTGAGCAGTATACAGTAGTCGCTTACCGCCATCGTAAACGACATTTTAAGGTGATTTCCGGCCGACGTAAACAATTACCATTAACAGTGACCGTATACGTATTCTGCAACAATATGATGACTCTATACGTTCATCGAAAAGTATCATGATGCACTATCCGTCTTTCTTATAATTTCTTCTACATAGAATTGATACTTTTGTATTGCATTTCATCACAAACGACTGTTAGCGTCGCCCGGTTTCTATTATTGAATATCGCTAACATATTCCTATGATGAAATACTCAAGTCAAAAAGTAACACAACTTGCGTTTCCATAAGATCGTGGCAGTCTCGGACTTTCCTTTTTGATATGAGTAATACTCTTATAAAATTCAAAATGTTTCAAACGATAATTTCCTTGTCAGTTTCGTATTCTCCATCTCATATTTCTGTAAGATGTAAGAACCTCAGAAATGATATCACAACAAAGCAATAAATAAGCTACATACTTCCAAAGTGCGTCCATGCAGAAAAAACTGAAAATGAGACCACACTCACTTATGAAGGGACGGTTGGAGACCCCCACATATACCCATCAATCGAAAGATAATCCTCGATAACCCTAGGATTGGCCCGCACGCGCCTATGTGTTGTCCTTATAATAAGGAACAACAGCCATCCTGTAATCTGATTGGTCAATTTTTCGGAACAATGAAATGGCGGAGTTCTATATCTCTATGAAGGGATGATTGCACACCCCCACATATACTCATCAATCGATAGAGCATCCTCGATAACCCTAGGATCGGCCCGATCATGCCTATGTGTTGTCCTTATAATAAGGAAGAAAAGCCCTCCTGTAATCTGATTGGTCAATTTTTCGGACCAATGAAATGGCGAAGTTCTATATATCTATGAAGGGACGGTTGGAGATCCCCACATATACCCATCAATCGATAGAGCATCCTCGATAACCCTAGGATCGGCCCGAACATGCCTATGTGTTATCCTCATAATAAAGGAGAAAAGCCTTCCTTAAATTCGAAAGATCTTTCATAGGTCTTCCAAACATCTTCCAGCCAGCTGAAGGATTACAGCAACCGTAAACGGCCGTATACGGTCGTTTCTGGTTGCTGTAATCCTCGTTCTGGGTTGCTTTCTACAATCTTTTGTCATTAGGTTGAATATGTGTCAAATGATCTTGATAACATAGTCGAAAGAATTTTATCAAAATCTATATCAATATCGAGAAGTTTTCAATCTTCATCTTCTACGAAGCATACAATTGATCAAGACGTAATTTGGTTCCGTCTTTTTATCCAAATACTTATTCGTATGAATGATAGTGATGAAGCAAAAAATGATTTATTACGATTGTGGAGAGAGACAGTCAGTAAAGATTCATATAAACTTGAAGCTGCTAATAAATTTAAGAAGGAATTTCAACCATCACACGCTATTCATTGGTACACAAATGAATATGAACTCGAAAGATTAATCCAAATAGCCTGTCATAAAATGAATTACAATAATTTATATGCACTTCGTTTTATCATTAAATATATATATTTACAACTGCAAGAAGAACATCAACAATATCGAAGGAAGATTGACAAACATGGAATAATTGTCTATCGAGGACAAAGAATGTCATATAAAGATTTGAAACTTTTCAAAACCAAAATCGGAGAAATCGTTCCTGCCCGGGCTCTATTTGGCACTTCACCAATGAAAGACATCGCTCCTCATATTGGCATATATGCTGAAAACAATAGTAAAGAGGTGCCAGTAATGTTTGAGATTCTAGTTGAACCAGAAAAAGTTACCTTACCTTACGCTGATATTAGTCATTTCACTGGCTTTAACAATAACAGTGAACTATTCTTTATGATAGGTACTATATTTCAAGTGAATGACATACATTATTCTGGTAGTGAGAAAATATCGATAATTAAACTTTCCCTTTGTGGAGAAGATGATCCTCGACTTAAAGATATGATTGATTACATAAAATATGAAATTAAAGATACAGCAGATTTAATTACGTTAGCTAATTTTTTCATTAAAATTGGAAAATATGATATGGCAAAAGAATATTATGGAAAATATCAAAATCAACTATCGATTGATCATTCTAATATGAAACATGTTTGGCAAGGTTTATCAAATATTGCTCATATTCAAGGAAATTATTTTATATCAATGAATGATTATTCAAGAGCACATAAATGTTTCGATGAACAAATGAAGATATGTCGAAATTTACCACATCATCATCCACAAGTCGGAAAATGTTATGAAAATATCGCAAATTTATATGAACTAGAAGGAGAAAAAAATCTGGCTGTGAAAAATTATGAAAAAGCATATAAAATTTTTTCACAATCACTTCCGGCTTATCATCCAGACACAACTAAAGTCGAGCAATCAATTGAAACTTTATCACCTGGTAAGTTATGAAAAATTCTAATTAACACTTCAACTCGCACAATTAAAATTGAAATGCTTCATTTCTTTGACAGTTTCAACAAATTTTCAAGATAAATAAATATTAAATGAATTTTCCTTTTTAGAAAAAAAATCAAACCAGCTAACAACATTAGAAATGACTGAAATATCTGAAGATAAATCAGACACAAATATAATCATTGAAATGTTTCTCATCGTTTGGTTAGATGCAAATGTTAATAAAACAAAAGATAACGAAGAGACGTACAAAGCTCTACGTGCAAGTATTAATTACCTTAAAACATTTGATAATATACAAGAAGGCGAAACTTATATTCAAAGTATTCACCGGGAAAAAATTATTTTAATTATATCTGGTGGATTTGGTATGGAAATCGTAGGACGAATTCATGATTTTGAACAAATTAATAGTATTTATATTTACTGTGGTGATAAAGCACTTCATGAAGAGTGGTCCAAAAATTACTCAAAGGTATTCGAAGAAAAAAATAGATAATAAAATTGGAAATGCAGATTATCTCCCAAAAAATTCATTCATATAAATGATTTTTTATTTTTCTTAGGTACGAGCAGTAATCACTGAACGGAAACACTTAATCGAACAAATCACTAAAGATCAAAAAATTCGTAATAAAACTGAAGATTCTCTTCCAATGAGTATGTTAACTCGTACAGCAGTAGCTAAGGAAACAACAGCGAAAGATATTGCAAAAGAAATGGGTTCAATTTTATGGTTTCAATTATTAATCGATGTTTTGTTACGTATGAAACATACCGATGATGCTAAAATAGAATTAATAGAAACTTGGTGTAAGAATTATATTGGAAATTCTTCTGAACTGGATATAATTAAAGAATTTGAACAAACATATGAACGAGAAAAAGCTGTTTGGTGGTACACTCGTGATTCATCTCTGTATCGTATATTAAATAAAGCATTGAGAGAACAATCAATTGATATGATATTTTCATTTCGATTTTTTCTAACTGAATTATCAAAACAAGTTTCACAATTGTATCAGAATTCTATGCAGCAATTAAAAGCATCTCATGCGATAAGTAAACCGATTCATGTTTATCGTGGACAAGTTATTGCTAAAGAAGAATTTGAACAAATGCAAAATAGTATTGGTGGTTTTATCTCAATCAATAGTTTTTTTTCAACAAGCCGAAATGAATTGAGAGCACGAAGGTTTGCAATACAATCATCTGTAACCGAAAAACTTCGTCGTATATTATTTAAAATTGAAATTGATCCTCGTTTACCAACAAAACCTTTTGCTGATATTGAAGGAATTAGTTATTATCCACGTGAACAAGAAATTTTATTTATGCTTGGATCAATATTTCGTATTAATGATATTGAGTCTGATGAAAAGAATAAATTATCAATAATAAATATGAGTCTTTGTAGTGAAGATGATTTTGAATTAAAAGAATTATTTGCATATTTAAAAAAAGATATTGGAGACGAAGCATCAATGATAACATTAGGGAATATTTTACTTCAAATGGGTGAATATGATAAAGGTGAAAGAATATTTCGACGAATGAATCATCAAGAAGGACTTATTAATGTTGCAGAATTAAAAGGAAATTTTTATCTAGCTATGAAAAAATATCAGCAGGCAATTGTTTATTGCGAACAATCGTTAGAACTTCGTCTTAAATTACTTCCCGAATCACATCCAGATATTGGTAAAAGTTATAGTGCAATTGCAATGGTCTACGAATTTTGGAAACAATATTCAAAATCTATTGATTATTATCAGCAAGCAATTGAGCAATATCAGCGTACATTGAAAGATAATCATCCATTGATCATACAAATTAAGAATAATTTACAAAAGCTTCAGCATCGAACAAAACATTAAATGATCGTTTAAGACATTATTTTTCAGCAACTTCTACTAAGGCAGCTCCGTTAAAGTCGAAGTATAGGATTCTTACGTGTTCTTGAGTCTCATTATAATAAGAATAGCTATCTACCATAATATACTTTTTCCATATATAAGCATGTCGTTTTGAATTAAGAACTTCCAATATTTGCCCTAGAAGAATATAAATGTTGGATACGATTGAGAATGGTGAGTATCAGTATATATCTCAGTGCTGGGTATGAGTGTGAGTCTTACTGAATCTTTGGAAAATTACACTTACATCGTCAAAGAAATATTCTAGCACAACTAGCTACCAATCTTCTACAACTTTTTTCTCTAGGTAAGTTTGCTACAGACAATAGCAAGTTTTTTAATTTTTGCAACAGTTGACTTTAAATCTATAAAATTAAATATGGGTTATGGAAATCTTATGATAGGTGTGTTCTAGCTACTTATATAACTGAGATTGGGAATCAAAAATAATTCGAAATTATTTTCGAATCTTTCTAAAAGTTCCAGTCATTCATTTTTAAAATTCATATTTAACTTTGACAACTATGCAGTTTGAATTTTAGCCATGTGAGAGAACGGTATGGGAAGAGTCTATCTATATTAGTACATAATAAGTTTCTTTATCATTTTCTATTTAGTTTGTATAGAGATCCAGGTTTAACCGATAAAAAAATGCAGCTCCGATGGTACTGTATCTGTGGTACGATTTTCAGTTACTTCTACTATTATCTCGAGTACGATCGTTCATTAAAACCATGAAACTTTGACGCAAATTCAGTGTTATTTTAACTAAATTTTCATATAACTTAAGCCTATGTCCTTATAAAATTTAATGAAAATTGCTAACGACAAATTTTAGGGTGGGTGTCGTGTGGGTATGGGCGTGTGGATGTTGGGTGTAGACGTGCGTGTCTTCTTGCTGCTTCACAACTACACCCACATTCTCGAGGTTTACTTGACTCACTCACCTTCATTCTTAATATAAATGATTAATGCCATTATGTACTTCCTAATCATCGATCAGTGCAACTCGTATGCTGCTGAAATAACTTCTCCTCTCGGTTAAACTGCATCTATACCAATTCATTCTCGAAAGATGGACTATTTTTTGATTCTTTTCTATGAAATCATAGATGAATAGCATACAACGCAATCAATGTTTCATAAGTAAGCATCGCATATTAAATTTAAAAAGAAAGCAATATTAGTGTTTATTGTTTCCAGAATCGTTTTATTGATTCATTGAATTCTTTCTTGTATATTTCCGATGGTAGGACAAATATGGCGAAAGTCAGCATCGGTGGAATAAATGAAATGAAATAACCAATAAGATAAAACCATGGGTTTCGAGCCGACTTCATACATCCGAACAAAAAGGATATGATCAAACGAGGAAGAGCCAACAGGACGAGAATGAATGGTGAAATCAATAGATGTTTATGATATTGAAATTGCTCACGTAAAATTTTCTTGTAGGATTGTTTCTTCTGAACGTTCGAATGAGTACGAGTTGTAGTAATTATAATGATTAATGCCGAAATACAGTTGGTTCCGAATGGAATTGAAAAATGAAGAATATTCAGAAACCAATCAAGCATTTGTATGGATGATGAGTATTTGGTTACACACCATGTGCGTTGTTCTTCATCATCATCGATCAAATGACGGTGAATCGGATCATGGATATGTGTACATGAAGTAAAAAGAAAAACAATCAAAACTACCCATTTAGCAATTTGTTTGCTTTTTGTTTTATCGAAATTAATTCCTTTTGAAACATTCACTGCTCGTTCGATGGCTACACAAGCACTAAGCCAATCACCAATGCTTAGAAGAAGTCGAAGAAGAAAATCCATGGATACACATTGTACATGCAGAAAGGAACGATTTTTGATCGAACCCATGTGCGATGCAAGAAGAAACCAGAACTTGACTGTGAATACACTCATTGTAATCATAGATGTGATTGAAGATGTTAACAGATATATACCACAGCCGACATTGCGTGTTTTTTCCCTTTGAAAGGTTAGAAACGAGAATAGACTACTAATGAAACCAAAACCGAGCATAATTGTAGTAATTGCAAGTGTGATTTTGATAGCGGTGGACTGCCGGCTAATTCCAACATTGGGACGTATTTGATAGCCTAAGATAATATCCAAAGAGAGAGTTGATCCTTTCGTAGAAAATTGACATCTCGATCCATAATAGCATTCAAAACAAGCACAAATCACTGAGATTGGACATTTTGGATCATCTTGAAAGCAATGACCTCCATTTTCACATAAGTTATACCCATGACAATGATAGGTCATATTGTGGTCGAATTCGAAACAGTTAGCTTGTCGAGCAAGATCACATAAACAGAAGTGAACATCATCATAGAAACAAACCAATTCGAGTCGTTCTTGACATAAAATATGATAATATTTGATGCGTTTCAACAAATGTTGGTTAGCAAGAGTCGTATTGAATAGTTCATGAATAGATGGACATCGATAAGAAGGAATGATTTGTGTGTTGATAGTAGCTGGAGAACTGGCTTGTTCTCGAAGAATAATCACATAGTAATTGGTGAACATTTCTGCAAAAGCAATGTTAAATGTAATTGAGGTATAGAATGAGAATGAACTTTGATGAAATGCGATTTTCTTCATTGTGCTCGTTCGAATGGGTTCTGCTTCGTTTTGAACTGTGATCAAATGAACAAGTAACGATGATGGAATAGTCAGTTCGTTGTGAAATGATACGTCGATTCGCGTTTGATTTAGTTGATATTCACAACGATCACCTGAGTATCCTTGAGGACAAATACACGTTGGCTTGTTCAGATCTGCAGGTGTGTGACGTGCATCTCCAGGCACACATTGACCATCATTAGCACACGATTCTGGATGACATGAAGATTGAAGAAGATAACATCGAGGACCGAATCGATTGAGAGGACATACACAGATGGAATCCCCAATACATAGTGAATTGGATGCACAGTCACATTCATGCTTAATCGTACAATCAGTTCCTGACCAACCAGGCTCACATCGACAGAATGTTGAACTTGGATTATTGACATAGTTAGAGCATTGGCCATGGATACATGAGGGTGTACATCTTTGGAGAAATTTACTATCTGAATTAGGAACTACGATTAAAGTGGATAGACGATTCACGGGCAGAAATGGAAATCGAAGTGGAAAAATCCAACTTGCTCGATAACTCAACGTCAATTTATTAAATGCATCAATTCGTACCGAATAATTTTTTAATGTATTTTTTGGTCGCGTTGAATAGAGTAAATAGACATTGAACTTAGTGTCACAATCTCGAATGGATAAATATTCAAAATAATCATGTGATTCAACATATCCCTCATCGTCTATTAGAGTGATTATGAAGGTGAACACAATGCGCCAATCCAATATTGTGCGTATTTGAAATGTAACACTGACACGTTGATTTTGATATTCGCATGTGTCTCCATAGTAACTTGGTGGACAAAGACAGTGCAACTTGTGCGTTTTATTATTCATAAGAATATAAATTGGAATTCCTCTGTTGCAATACCGTTCTGTAGCATTTGTGTTATAAATAATTGGATTGTCGTGAACCGATTGAGTGTTTTTCTGCGTTGACAGTACATGTGAAGTCGCCTCAGTTATCAACTCGAGCGAATAGGTGGGCATATTGCGCAGAATAAAATAGATATTTCTTGTTACTAACACGATACAGAAAGAATGATGAAGAAAATCTTGAACTTCTGTTTCGACTGATGAGTCCCAAGAACATACTTGTGGAGGTACAAAGTCATAATTTTTACAAAATGCTTCGTCGTCACCAAGCGAACAATCTCTCGTGCTGTCACACAAGGACGTAGAAGAAATACATTTTGTTTCGTTCAAACATTGAAATGTGTACATCACACCAAATGGATAAGTGGTTCGACAATAGTTTCGTTCATCTGACGCACCTAAACAATCGACAATACCGTCACCAACTTGATCAATTGACAAGCATGACACTTTGGATGTATCGTTTGGAAAGACACAAGTGTGTTGAAGCTTAGGACAGTTTGACGATGGACAATTGACCTCATCAGCTCCATCATTACACGACCAGAATCCATCACATCTAGTATAAGTATTATTACATTGCCAATATATGCACCCCGTTTCATCTGTCTCATATCGTCCATCGATTAACATAGGTAGCAATTCTTCAATTCCATCACATATTCTTTGAAAATAAATATGAGTTTCCTTCGATTCTTGATTCTCCCCTCGTTCATCTTCTCCGTATTCGCAATCAAATACACCATTTCCAATGATTAATGGTGCAAAGCACTTTTCATTGTTGTTTACTGAACATGTAAAACGATAATAGACATCGTTAAGCGAGCAGCTCTGATTAAATGTTTCGTCATCATCGAACGGACAATCACGGATTCCATCAACAAGACGATGCTTTGAAATGTATTTGGTGGAGTTTTGACATTGATACATAATTGAATAATTAGAATATTGTTTCTTGCTTGGCGCTATTAAACATCCACGAAACAGATCTTTGACATCTTCTATGAGTTTAGGTAGAAAATCATATGAAGATTCACTCAGGCCTAACTCCTCAAAATGACGACAAGTAGAATCGTTCAAATGCACTGTAGATGAAAGAAAGTTCTTGCAAAGTTCTTCATCGTAACACACATAATCTGGTAAAACAATTGTATCAGAATCAATTTCTCTATCTTTGTTTGAGAAGATAAAGCGTACATGTCCGAATAGGATGGGACCAGGAGGCAATTCGTACAGCGACGGGCATTTATCTCTTGTGCAATTGGTCTCTTTACAAAATTTTTTACACCATTGCTGTTGGATTTTATCAGTGAGTTTCATGAGACAGGCCATAGCACTGGAACAAAGATCATTGATCAACAGATTGTCACGGCCATTTTCACATCTTGTATTTATCTCAGTCCCACACTGTCCATCGCCACAGGGAAACTCATATTTTCCTGGACGGCACGTATGTTCTTCGCACCGAAAGGCAGGATCTTTAGGACAATAAGTAGAATAATCAAAAACAAGTACAGGTTCATCTGTTCGATCTAAACAATCTGCGTTGTTAAAAACATCATGAAAAAATTCAATCGGAACACATTGACCATTGTGACATCGATATTCATTCTCGGTACATTCGTTTATTTCAAGTTGCCAACAATTGAACTCATCAGATCCATCGAAACAGTCAATTTTTCTGTCACAGATCTCGCGCCAGTCCAAACATGATAATGATGTCTCACAATTTAGATGTTCATAACATGTCACTTTGGCATTCTTCTTTATTTCTGATTTAGATCGAAAGTTCGAAGCGACGATTTCATCAAACGATTCGTTTGTGTAAAATGTAAAACGACAGAAGGGCCCGAAGTATGGTAAGCTACAATTGTAGAATAACGTTTCGCTGTCGGATGACGACAACGAAGAACGTGACATATCATTCAAAAAGAGTTGATAACGTTCGACCAGATCGATGGAAGCTGACCAAGACTGTAACATTTGACTGCTGATATTTTTCTCTTTTAATTCAGCAAAGGTATAATTAGGATGAGCTGTGTTGTTAAAGTTGTCATCTATGATGAGAATGCTTTGCTTTGATGGTCGAAGACAATATGATATTATCTGATGTGGAACCATATACGGTTTGAAAATATTCAAAATATTATCACGCACGTAATATAGAAGACAATATCCATCTTGATCATTATTAGTATTGTACATATTAAAGTAATGCTGTGATAAGACTTGTCCCTGCCATATAATCAACATGTATAGTAGCAGCATAATGCAGATGAAAGTACGTGTTGTAACAGAATATGATTGTGCTTATACATGATTTTCTCCTTTAAACATGTATCATATTTCATCACACAGCTAACACGTTCCACAAAGATAGTAACGAGTTCAACCTCACAGTCATTCTCTTACTTTGATAAGTCTCTGACATGCTGAAATTTTAGCTAATCAACACTTCTATTCTATATTCTCCTCAACTTCACAAGTGAAAGAGCATCGTATAATAGAAAAACTAACTAGTGATGTTTTGTTTTACTAAGATTGCAACGAACGGGATGGGTGTGGATGTAAGAAAACAGGGTTATTGGTGTGGGTGGATGTGAGTGTGGATATGGATGTGAGAGTGTGTTCGAGTGCCAGTAAAGGGTAGATTAACACCCATACACCCGCACCCACACCATCCACACTCACACCCGCACCCACACCATCCGCACCCACACCCGCACCGACACCATCCACACCCACACCCACATCACACCCACACCCACACCACCACACCCACACCCACACCCACACCCACACCCAAAATTCTTGCGATTTTCTATTAAAATATTATATCGCAGCCAAAAATACATCATCAAGAACTCGACAATGTTTCATTTTGTAGAAAATTATTTATTTCAATGTAATCTAAATAAAACTATATTTACCTGTTTAGAATGTTGGAAAACGATGATTTAGATTTTATATCTGATAAGAATTTTTATTTTGTTCTATTCTTTTTGGAAATTATTTTCTCTGTTTGAACTACTATTTGAATTTTATCTAATGCTTAACGAAGCAGAAAAAAATTGAAAATAAACTCACTTTGCATTATTTTCTTTCGTTAGCAACGTCATCTCATAATATTAAAATATGTAAATCTTGGAATAATGATCTTTTCTACACCTAATTTTTTATATGGCTTACGGAAGTTAAGTGGTTCTATATATTCTGAAAAAAATGAGCTCTGTTTAGAGGGTTTATTAATAAAAACCTATCGTTAGCGATGTGATGGAGTACGAGTCTATAATTTCGTTTCTGTACTTGATAAGATCTATATACGACCGATTTTTTTGTTGAATTTAATTTTGATGAAAATTTTACAATAGATGTAGCTCGGGGTGTAGAGTGTATCCTGAAGTTTTCAGGTTTTTTTTTAAATGGTTGAAAAGATACTCGCTAATTACTTCTTAATTAATAGCCAGTTGAAAGAGTCAATATTTTTAAATTAATCTATGCTAAAAGAATTTATTCAGAAAAAATAGCTATTGTAGAGAATAAAAGTCAAATGAAAGCGGTCTATGTCTCTTTTTCTCTAATTTTGTCCATACAATTTAATTAATTTTTTTCCAGAATTACTCCTAAAGATTTATAAAATCTTCTAATTTTAACTTTCTAAATATTCAAATTTAATAGAACTTGTTGTAGAACAAAATGATATAATATCGAATTAGTTGATGTTTATTTTTGTTAAACTTACTGTTCAAACGTTGTGCAGATAAAATTCGATCAATTGCTGCAAATGAAAACAAACTCAGTGAAACATCATGATTCCACACGGAGGCAAATTGTCGCAATTTGCAGATAATTTCATAATGTGTAGTTATTGGAATTTGAAATCCTTTTTGAAGTATTCGTGTCAACAATAGAAAATTAAAATAAATAAAATCAGACAGTGCTTCGCATAATAAATATACGGCATAAGCTCGTTTACTGAGTGTTCGAGAACTAAATACTATTGCATTTCCAATACAACCAATATTACCTGTCACCCAAATAAATAAGCCAATAAATATGTTCGCTTGATAAGGTAGAGCCAAAAGAGTACTACTAACAGTGTTTGATGTCGTATTCATTGTTTATAGATTAATATAAAAAAAAAATACAATACACTATTCTTCAGCTGTTTTAATCGATATTGATAAGAAAAATGAATTTTCTATTTGTCCTTGCTATAAATTTTTTTTTTAAATAAAATATAATAATATTTTTTTCATAGAAAAGAATACATCTGAAGCATATTCCACGATGATAGACATGTACCTTCATTTATAATCTAGACTTCATACAAGTGTAATTGGTTAAAGCAAGTGGAGCAAAATATTCTTTTAACCACTTAGTCATGTTTACTAGACATTGCAAAGATGTTTAACGAAGCAACAAATCCAATTAGCCAATACACTTTTCAATTACATTTTATTTTGAGAAGACAAAAACACTTCGCATTTCAAAAAATAAATTTTATAATATGTATTAGAAATTTGGTCAAACCAATTGTATGCTCGCAATGATTGTCAAAACTATCTGACTAGTAGATAATTTTATTATATCTCAAAAAATTGGTTGAGCTAGAATGATCTTATTTACGTCAGATTACAGTTTATAGAACCTAATATATGAGTAAAAATGTTGTTAGCACTGTTTCTGAGAAATAAAAATGTGAAACTTAATGTAATTGATGTTTTTAACTACGGAAGAATTCTTTGTCTTAATGCTCGAAAAATGGAATAGAAAAATTGTTTACATGTTGGAACGAGACATTATTGAAATACGATATATGATCGTATATCAACAATAATTACTTAGAGCATGGTATTAAACATAACATTTTTTCCTAATGACGAATACAATTGTTTGTGAATTTTCTATATCATCAAAGGTCAGTTTTATTTTACTGTATTCGAAAGTGTACACGAAATTCATGGTACATAAAGTAAACGTGAGGATATTGATTGAAATTTTGAATTTTAAAGTCTTTTTTCGACCAATCTCTGCCAATGCCAACTCTGTTTTAGACTTGCCATTTGAATTAGTCACAACCTTAGAATAAATTTGAAAACAGCATTGAAAACTGAACATAACTTACATAAAAAATTTAAGAAATTGACAGGAATTAGTTTTATGCTGTTTGAAAAAACACGTATCCACTATTGAGATTTATTAATCTGATAAAAATTTTTCATGTCAGCTTTATTTAGTTTTGAACGCTCTTTCCAAATCTATTTCAATGTTTTGGCTGTTGCGAAAGATTCAAACTCGATGAATTTTAAGAGATTCTTTTTTGTATTCGAAATCAAGACTAGATCTTAATGATATAATTGGTTTAGGCTTCAAATGTAAGAATTTTGAACGGAGAAAAAGATCCTCAGTAACCCATTCTGTTAAAACAATGTTTTATACCTCTTTCAATGTGTAACTGAGACTGTTGAAGACGTCAATGCCTAATTTATGTCTAGATAGAAGATGACTAATGCAATTTTCTAACAGGAAAAATTTATTCATATAGAATATTCTTAACATCATCAAAAATAGAATTGACTAAACATCATCTGAGAAAAAAATTCTCGTCTCACCTTCTTGTAGAAAATTTCCTGTGCAGGTTAACAAAAAAAGAAGATGACTTTTAAACTTACACTCGAAAGGAAAAGTACAATAAGAAGTATTCCTTGTGTTAAGAACAGTTTGTTCTACGAAATTATGTATTAAAAAGAAAATTTTGATCTAGAAGAGAATATTGACTTGAAATTTATTGATTAGTATATTAGATGCTATGAACTTTAATCTGACAAAAATTCAATTATTCTAGTTCATCAGATTTTTAAAGTTTACAAAAATAGAATTAAATTGATTATTGATCGGATAGCATTAAAAGTCAATGCAAATAAAGCATAGAACATCGTCTTCTTTGTTATATACTAAGATAAATTTAAATTCGCAGAATATCTCCAAGTTGCCTACCTTATTTTTATCTTTGGATAATTGTATATGTTTTGTTGTTCTATAAAGCTACTATCAATGAACTGTTAGTTAGATTATTTCTCAAATAAATCTTCACTGATTTGACTATAACGATGCAGAGTTAATTATCTGTGGTCGTTTAATATATTTAATAGTATGTAGATTTATATCGATATAATGGCTTTGTAGATCATTTTAATTTGTCCGTTAGGATTAATAATCTAATTTCATTGCTTTAAAAAAAATTTGAATACGAAGTGAATATACTTTTCATTGGATGAAAGACATGACAAGTTAGACTCTATTTTAGAGCATCACTCTATGATATAAACGATTGTAATTATTCTTCTAGTTAAATTAAAAGACATGTCTTATATATTAGAAAATTACTAGAAAGCTTTTGAAGAACTACAAAGTTTTTAATTATCTTTGAAGAATATAAGCTTTTACAAACATTTCATTTTTTCTCCGCATCATTCCTTTTAAGTTACCATGATTATACATGCCTCTATAATTATTTTGTTTTTTTGTTAATAAGAAAAAAAATGTAACATAAAACTGCATATCTGAATTCTGCCGGAGAAAATATGTTTTTCTTTTGAGAGAAGAGCGAATTGTCCTTGTTAATTAGAAGAAGTGTGACAATGGAGAGGAATTGAAATGTGAACGTGGTTGCGAGTGAAGAGAAGACTGGCATCCATACCCACACGTTCAGTTTCTCGAAGTTATTCTTATTTATAAACAGTAACCTATTGATTTGGTAGCGGATACTTTTTCGTCGGTTAGTACGTATGGTATCACAGAATATTTTCAATTCACTTGAAAATACGAATGCTTGTTGGATGTGTCACGAATTGAAGAAATTCATAGGTTTATATGGTTAAATTTTCTCCTTGTTTGTAAGTTAATTTCAGTAAGACATACCAAAATTACAATAACAACGTCTCACATCAAAATGAAGATTAACTATTTTTATTTCTTAAACCTATTAGTGTTCATAAAATCTTGGTAAAACTCCCTCACTTTCGATAATTTCATGCTGAAAAAGTAGGTGAAAACTTCTGTTTGCATGAAAAATGCAATTCTCACTTTTCATATTGTGACACAGAGATGTATCGATGAAATGCTGCAGTACTGAAGAGGAAATAAAATCCAAATAACTAGGCTTGAGCTGAAACTAAGAAAAAATTTCTAATTCAAATGATTGTTCATTTTCTTTTTTCTTTTTTGAATCAGATCTTTAGTTGATGTTTTCCCTATTTATGTATACCACTTTTGCAGTGAAAGTATTTACTGTTTGAGTAAAGAACGTATCAGCAATTATATTATTGTTGTTAGTTTTTGTTTTATCAGGCATGAATAAACATATTGAATTGAAAAGATTGATTTTACATTAAACGTGATATTTGGCGTTGATAGTCCGCATTAAATACGCATCCCTGAGTTTACTGTAATTCTGCGGAATTTTTTTTTAAACCAAGTCAAATAGATTTTCGTTACCAATAAGCAAGCAATTCAGCAGAAATATGTTGACACACGGAGAATTGATATGAGTCTCGTCTTTCATTTCATATCGATGCAATTTTTACTTCTACAACTGTGTCTAGAAATCTGAAATTTGATTCTTAACTTGGATACAAAACGTCGTTTAGCGTCTTCTACCAAATGAATTCTAATAGAAGTTTATTTGGATAGGCAAGAGATAGTATGTATTTATTTTCATCAAAACATGTGCAGTATATAGATGCAATTACAAAAAAAAACAAGTATTCTCTGTCGCTTTTTTCTCTCCATCAAGTAGTCTGTCGTGTTATTGGATTGATGTCGTTTCAGAATACATCAGTGAATAAGAAGAGATGAATTACTGCTCGAGCTATTTGAATACTTTCATGGTCTTAATATGCATTTAGATAATCTCATTTTCAAACATCATCGAAACAAGCTTTCGAAACTATCTGTCAACTAAATTTTCCATTGATTATCAATCAAGTTGTTTCGTTTGTTCTCTAAGATGACGATGAAATTCCTCAACAAATTTATTTATTTCGTTCTTTCCCATTAGATTGCATTTGTTCAGGCGAAATAATTAGTCAAATTTTATTAGAATGTCCACAACTTGTTCATTTAAATCTGAATAATTGTTATATCGGACAGAAACAAGATGATATTTCTTATTTTGTAAATAGTGTTTGGAGTTTACCCTAGCTTATCTATTGCTGTTTAAACTTGAATTTAAAATATGGATTTTATATGTCAATACCAACACCTATTTCATTGTCTAAAGAACATCTATCAATCTTAGGCGTTTCTTATCACATTGGTCAATTGACTGGTCTTTTCTAGCACACACCACGTCTTCGGTATCTTGCATTAGAATTATCCAATAGTCATGTCGCTGAAAAGATAGAAATACCGATTTCGTCGATAATTGAATTAAGTTTTGTATTTGCTGGTCCATAACATGACATCATAGAGAACATGTTACAACATGTGCCCAATTCATGTCAATTGAAAATTGAAACTTGTTATTTTGACATGAGCGGATATGAATGAGAATAAGTTATTCGTAATTATGTGCCTAAATTAAAAGCATTTCAACTGAAGATACGGTGTTCATTTATCAGTGAGAAGTATAAAAATGAATTGTTCAATTCCTTGCAAACATGATTTTGGCTTGAAGAGCATCAATGGTTTGCTAGATATCATTACAATCTAAATGATAATTCCAACATGATTTGCCTAAACACATTACCATATAGCTTTTCCTATTCATTCTAAATCGACTGGTCCCAATAATGATGACGTTTATTTGTCATATGATCATGCTCAACGCTAAGTTTATCGTTCTTCTTCCATAACAGAAATGATCGTGTCTAGACTTGGCTTTTCTAATGTAATTTATCTTTGAATTACACTTATAGTTAATAATCATTTGTTGCTGATTGTGAAAAACTTTGATTGATTAACTTTATTGAAAGAATCATGATTGAAAAGTATGTCTGATATTGAGGCTCAGTTACAGCTGCAACAAATACTTGACCCATGACGTTAATTTTTGGTAAAAAGACGCGTTTTTCCATTTCTGCGAAACGTATTAAACCGTCCAGCATTAACGCGT